GGTCGCATCCCCTTTATCCGAGAAGGATCTATCAACCTTTTGTTTTCGAATCAGGACTCATGGCTACCGTTGCTCCACCTGCTGATCGTATCCTTTTTCTATGTTTCTCGATCTGTGTTTTCTATTTCTCGATCTCTTCGTTTCTCGCTTGATTTGCGTTCCTGGATCTCGATTCGAGTTTTGTATTCTCAGTGTTGTAATTCGTAATTTTGCGTTGAGATTTCAGATTTGTTTGGTTTTTGCGTAGATTTAGTTTCGCTGTGTAGGGTATTTGATGAAAATCGAGTTTTCCTGTGGCGGGCAAAAGTTAACCAATGATTTGATTTTGAAATTAGGGTTAAAGATGTTTGCTTTTCACTATTCTAATGGTTGATATATGGTGTAATTGTAAGATAGGACGCAAAGGTCTTTGTTTCCTTGACTCACTTTGTTTGTAGAAGCTGCAGATCTGTTGCAGAAACTATCTTTGGATTCACAATCAAAAGCTTCAGAGATTCCTGAGCCTAACAAGAAGGTATGAAGCTGGTTTAATTTTGGTCTCTGTTTACGACCTCTGCCTTTCAGTTTTTTAACAAGCAGGGTTATGTTGTAATTGTTTGTGCAGACTGCTGTTTACCAATATGGAGGTGTGGATTTGCATGGTCAAGTTCCTTCCTATGACCGATCTTTGACACCAATGCTTCCCAGTGATGCCGTCGACCCTACAGTTTGCTATGTTCCCAATTACCCGCACTATTATTATGGAGGTAGCTTCATCCTCTACCCCTCTACTATCTAGAAACATCACTTCACAAGTTGTCACCAATGCTTCACAAATTTCTCGTTTTTATTGACTTTCAGCATATGGTAATGAGTGGAGCGAATATGCTGCCTACACCAATCCTGAGGGTGTTGACATGAATTCTGTAAGTTTGTGCTTAGTAGGTCCAATGTGTTTTTCACTCTCTTTGCATCTGCTATGCTTAACTGTTTCGATATTTTACCAGGGAGTTTATGGAGATAACGGAACTTTTGTGTATCCTCAGGGTTACGGGTATGCACCATATCCTTACTCGCCAGCAACAAGCCCTGCTCCACAGGTTGGTGGAGATGGTCAGTTGTATGGTGCTCAGCAGTACCAGTATCCTGCCTACTTCCCCCACACAACAAGCAGTGGACCTTTTGCTTCTTCTGTTGCTAACCCTACCCAGGGGGATCTCTCTGCAAACAAAGCTGGTGGTGTGAAGACAATAACTGCTGAAAGCAATAATGTTGCTTCTGCTGCAGGTATGGCAAAAGGAAGCAATGGATCAGCTCCAGTGAAGCCAATTAACCAGACCACACTTAACACCTCAAGCAATTTGTATGGAACTGGTGCTCCGGGAGGAGGTTTTGCTTCTGGTTATCATCAGGATCCTAGATATAACTATGATGGGTATTATGCTCCTGTGTCGTCATGGCATGATGGCTCTAAGTATTCTGATGTGCAGAGACCTGTCTCTGGTACTGGAGTTGCATCCTCCTATTCGAAGGGAAGCAGTGTGCCTTCATCAAGGAATCAAAATTACCGCTCTAATTCCCAGTACACGGTATTATATCATTCTGTATATCTTTGTATTAATGAAGACTATTGTCTGTTTTATTGGTGTATAAATTGGCCCTCAAGTTTTTAAATTTTGTTAAATCTTTCTTGAATCAATGGTTTCTTTATGCAGGGTATGCACCAGTCTGCATCAGTGACAGGCTACGGAGCAGCTCAGGGATACTACAACAGGATGTATCCAAACAAGTTGTATGGTCAGTATGGCAGCAGCACTGGGAGATCTGGTATGGGTTATGGTTCTTCTGGGTATGATTCAAGAACAAATGGAAGAGGATGGGTGAGCACAACAGACAACAAATACAGAAGCTGGGGAAGGGGTAACAATTACTTCTACGGAAATGAGAACAATGTAGATGGTTTGAATGAGCTTAACAGGGGACCTAGGGCAAAGGGCACAAAGAACCAGAAGGGAAGTTTAGAAGATAGCATAGAGGTTAAGGAGCAGACTGGTGAATCCAATGTCACCGAGGCTGGGGAGACGGAAACCACATGTGCTGTGCCTGACAGAGAACAGTACAACAAAGAAGATTTCCCAGTGGAATATGCGAACGCTATGTTCTTTATCATCAAGTCGTACAGTGAAGATGATGTGCACAAGAGCATCAAATATAATGTTTGGGCTAGCACACCAAATGGAAACAAGAAGCTTGCTGCAGCATATCAGGAAGCTCAGCAGAAGCCTGGTGGCTGTCCTATCTTTCTCTTCTTCTCGGTGAGTATATAATTTTGTAATCAAAGCAGTGACTCTTTATACTTTGTTTGATGTTATTGAGTTATATATTCCAATTTTTGTCTTCCAGGTCAATGCAAGTGGACAATTTGTTGGGCTTGCTGAAATGACAGGACCAGTTGATTTCAACACAAATGTGGAGTACTGGCAGCAGGATAAGTGGACTGGCTCCTTCCCTCTCAAGTGGCATATTGTGAAGGATGTTCCAAACAGTTTGCTGAAACATATCACCCTTGAGAACAATGAGAACAAGCCTGTTACCAACAGTAGAGACACACAAGAGGTAACAGACTTGTAAATCTTTTTGCATCACTTCAAGTCATGTTCTCGATTTTGGTTTCCTTGTGTTGAAGTTTCTTTTGTGGGACCATGTTATAGGTGAAGCTGGAGCAAGGGTTAAAGATTGTGAAAATTTTCAAGGAGCATAGCAGCAAGACTTGCATTTTGGATGACTTCTCCTTCTATGAGGTTCGGCAAAAGACGATCTTGGAGAAGAAGGCCAAGCAGCAGCAGACCCAGAAACAGGCAAGTATAAGAAAATTGTTCTATAAGTCTTTGTAGTTGGTATATAAATCTAGAGTGTTTCCCCCTAACGTCTAAATGAACGAAATCATAACAGGTAAGTGAGGAGAAGACCACAACGGATGAAAAAAAGGAATCTGCAACTGCGGATTTGGCTAATAAGAAGGAATCTCCTTTGGCTGTTGAAACTACAGGTGATGTCAAGGTGGCTGAAAATGGGTCTGTTGCTAAAGCAGCTGGTGCAGTGGCAAATGGATGCTAGATTAGACGATGTTGCTCACGGCTTGAGCATAAAACGCAACAAGAGAGTAGAAGAAGATGTGAACAAATCCTGGTAACAGTTTCTCTTGGTAACAAGCTGCCGTGAGATTTTGAAGCATGGAAGGAGGAGCGGAAGTGTTCCTGAGACTGATCCTGTTCTTTGCCCGTAGTAGTTTAAATCCCAGTTATTTTCTTTCAATATTTTCTTTTATCGCAGTGTCTTTTTTACAAGTTTTATGTTTTTTTTTTGGTCTTTTCATTTTCTGGTTGATCCTCGACCCTGTAAAAATGCGTATAGGACCTACTTAATCGTGGGAAGAATTCAGAGAAAAAGGAGATAAAAGCAGGGTGGGATTTGTTTTCATTTATGTTGGATTTTTTAGGCAGAGAATTTTTTGTTCTTGTGTTTCTTGTTTTGTTCAAGACTCTGTTTTAAGTTCTTTAGTATCTTTGGATTTGATGGTCTTCGTCTC